GTTAAAATTGATACATCCTCCTGATTTTTATGACATGAATGTGTTTATTCGGCAGAATGCATTGCACGTCTTCCACAGGATTTCTGTGTTCTACAACTGTTCATTCAGAAGGAGTTTGTACATCGGTTTTGTCTCCCTGGCAAACTGCTGTGTAATTGGCAAGGTTCTTTATGCGTCTTACTTCATTCTCATAGATACCGGGTGCCTGCAACATTTCTTCATACGCTTCCACCTGCGTTTGGCTGACCGGGGCGGAGTACACCAACTGAAATTATTTGAAAATGTGTGTATAACTGACAATGTCATTTTCGTTCGCCAGACCTCAAAACATCAGTTGTTGTGTTAACAGACAGAAGAACATTGCCAAAGCAAGACACTATCACAAAGAAATCTTTAACAAAGATCCTCCCCTCAACCGGGTACTCTCGGAGAATTCTGAAGCATACCCCTTTCTGACCAGTTTTCAGTATGTATAGGTCTTCCTCAAATGTCATCTTTAGCCTTCCATTATATTCAAGTGGAATAAAGTTGGTGGTTAATGCTGGGTTTCATGAAGTATTCCATTGCATATTTTGTTCATAAAATCCCAAGCTGTTACAATACAACTCCAAAAGCAAAATTAGTGTGCACACAAACGACATTCAAGACCAGTTTCTTAAAATCGTATAACGGATTCTTGGGTATCTGGATATGATCTGCAGTATAAATCTACAAGTTATGGTTGTTATTTCTTAGTTTTGAAATCTGTATCGATTGGTAAATCTGTTGTTGCGGCCATTGCATATAATAATTGTGTACTTAAATGAAAACGTTACTGAAACACAGAAACCACACCCAGAATCGGTTTTACACTTTTACTGAAACGAATGAAATGTTATTACATGGAAAGGCAAATGTGTCAAGGAATTCTAACGATCAACATTTCATAACAACACTGTACCTGGCATAGACAAATGAGCCACAACATAAGAGAGGGTTCACAATCACATTCACTAGCGAGTGTGTCAGTGGAGTGGTGCAGGCCTGAGAATATCATACCATACCCGAAGAATATTACAATATCCACAAAATAGTCCTTGTATAACAATGCATCACAAATGAAAGACAAAACTGATAAATGAAACACAACAGTAGGGGTTTGTTTGAGATCATCACAGGATTGCATTGACCGTATTGCCTTTGAAATTGTTACTTGAATATTTGGGCTTTCTTGGTGGAACTACTCATTTAAATGTCTCTAATATAGTCATCTACCTTCAGTTATTGGTGACCTATAGCCCGGTCTTTATATTGTATTGTCCTGTATTGTACTAAATATTTTAATGCTTACTTGCTAGTTTTATATTTCTATCTCTGATAACCTAGTTGTTTTACTGCCCTTTGTTGACAGATTTTACGAAATAAGTTTATGTATTACTAAAGTGTATTTTATCATAGTCACGATATGGCTGCAATATTGCCGATGTGACTCTAAATCTTAACTCACTCCCTCATTAAATTTCATTCTCTTTCTGTCATAATGGCCACACATACATTTCGCTAGAGATAATTGTGAGTTTTTGTACGCAGTTTTGTGATAGTGTTTGGGGTTATTTTTGGGGGAAAAGAAATATAAAGGGTGTGTGCGTGATTTAAGCTGATCTTAATGCTATTTGTTATTCAAAGAATTGACGAAATTATGGACCCCTGTGTTAAATACTTGCAGAGCTAAACTTAGAATACTCATAAACTGAGACAACTATGTCTTCAGTCTTGTCCCATCCATATGAAAAACAAGTTGCAAAGCAAAAGTAAACAAACGAAAGTAAGTTCAAATTACGCTAAAGTAATGTTTCAATATTTGACACACCCCTTTGGATTTGGGTTTTAACAGAATGCTCTTACACAAAAGGACGCTAAAGTAGCGTTTCATTATTTGGTAACAAAAAATCCGTTATTAAAATTCATCCGTTACACACAGCAGGATGTCAAGGTAAGTGTTTTTAATCATTTAACTGGATCTATATTTACCCAAGGCAATTTTGCATTATGTCAGTTTCCCAAGACACTGTTTACAACAACCCTCTGACAACCGCAAGGTGATTATATGGCACTTCTCCTGGCTTGCTATTCTCGAAACGTCCGTAGCCCTACGAACGTCTTAAGCCCACTTTTAACACATTGGCTACCTTAAGAGTTCTTAAGGCTACGAACGTTTCAAGAATAAGGGCCCGAATTTACTTCTTACATCCCACAGGAAATACCTTAGTGACCATGGCAAGGTTTTGATCCTGGAACGAATATGTCAATAAATCATCGGGCAAGTTTACACCAAGTTCATTGGCAACCCTCTGACAACCGCTGACCTCACTGCAGCGGTAGAGTGATGTGACGCTGAACTCATATCCCTTGCGTGATAGGAAACCTGTCAACTGGAGCCAACTGCATGTTTTCTCAACGTCAAGCACTAAAAAGTATAAATAAACGAAGCGATTTGAGGAAAAATGTCTTTGAAATAAGTCCTGTAAAGATGCATTAGATAATCCACTTATAGGCACTTATATGTCTGTCTCAAAAGAAAGCTTGGGATACATGAACAGATAGAGCCTGTATACTGGATTATCTTGATTAACAGGACAAGTCAAGATGTTTTCATTAGGAATTCAACAAGAGTCCATGAGTAGGATGGCACACATAATTAGTCATTTTCTAAAAGCAAAGTAGAAATGATACTGAATATCTTAATACTGCGTTAACAATATACGCTGCAATATTCAACATTGCCGTTGTTGCAATGAAAATATCAGTCATACTATATCACATGTTTTCTTTAGTCAACTTTACAGCTGTTTATGGTTTTTTTCCAATATGTGCTGACCTCTACTGTAGATTTGTGGAAGGCTGTTGATAGTGCTGGCGCGTGACCTTGGCAGATGTCATCCTCCGTTTCCACAGTTATTATACATGAAATTACTTGATATATCATCCATAATCGGTAATTGGATCAACGATACAATGTAGTGAGGCTCACATAAAATGGGTTAGTTTTTTGAGGTCTATCAAGGAATCAACTGGAAATGCTTCATATAAAATGTAAAATTAAAAATATATATTTATAGCAAATTCTAATGATGACTTACCAAGAACAATCCTTGGAGTTCCCAGTTCCTGTTCAACCAATAACAATAAATCAATATGACTTGACTGAGCAAATATCTTCATTGTGTTCAGTTCCGTCCCATGTGTATAATTCAATATACATCTGATAAAGAAATTCAAGTGTTTGGTGCAGTTGTGTGAATTGCTGAGCAGGCAATATACTGGACATATGATCGAGCATTACATTACTATGCATATTGTGAATAATACCGTAAATTATATTTTCACGATATCATTAATTGCCATGATCCATTTCTTCATCTCCCATTCGAATCACATCCCCTAAAATATTCGTCTGATGGAAAATGAAGTTTTAATAGTTTTGCATAAACTTGTAAGCTTAATTTTACAGACCTTGAATGCAAAGATAACCTTGATGTCCTTCAGATCGTCAACTGTCTGCTTTATCTGCTGTACTATGGGTTGGTTTGGTTGGTTGGAACTATGGGTTGGTTTCATCTAAGCTGAAACCAACAGACTTGTCAGTTTCCAGGGACAGAAACATAGCAGAAACCTACATTACTCAGTATCCAAAAGGTTTCCGCACCAGCGGAAACTAAGCCATTTTGCTATGAATGTTTCAGTGAACTTAAACTAAATGGAAACGCATAATGATAATTTCAGTTGTAGAAACTTGACGGAAACCTAGATTTGTTAGTTTCAGTTTTGTAAACTATGCGGAAACTCTTATTGTCAGTTTCCGGGTACAGAAACATAGCGGAAACCTACATTACTCAGTATCCATTAGGTTTCCGCAAGAACGCAAACTAAGTTATTTTTTATGTGTATATGGCTGTAATAATGCCGATGTGACGTAAAGCCCAACTCAACTCAGGAACCTGCATTCAAGCTTTCGATATAGTGATGGTATGTCATTGTGAGTGAGCTTTTAGTTTTACACCGCTTTCAGCAATATTCCAGCAATATCACGGCGGTGGACATTAGAAATGGGCTTCACACATTTTACCCACGTGGGGAATAGAACCCGGGTCTGCGGTGTAATCAGCGAACGCTTTAACCACTAGGCTACCCCACCGACCTTCATTCATTAAGACATAGCAAATATATTCCATTTTATGTTATATAAGTGAAGCTGTTGAGTAATTAGATAGTAGCATTGAACAAACATATTTACGTTTGCTCCCTTGGCCCCCCTGTTAAAGGTCGCATTTTGACACAAGCACGAAAATTAAATGTGTTCAATATTGACCCAAAGGGTTAGAAAGACCTACTACATAAAAAGTATGCACCAGATGCCAATATGTATCTTCAGTTTTAGAGCAAAGTTCGTTTGTATCTGCAATGAAAGGTAATAACTTTAGTTATTTTACTAGGAAATGGCATCACTTAGATACTCTGACATCGTAATTTAACACACATACAATTTGATTCACTCAAACTAATGTGTCCACTACTGTTAGAACATTTTCACCAAGCTCTTGTCTATCTATATATGTACACCCTCATATGTGTATATAAATTTGTATTGACTTCATGATGTAACTGCCAACGCATGTCACTCTTCTGTCTGTACAATCAACATGGAATTGAATAAAACATTTGCACCAGTCAGATGCCCTCATGTATCTTCAGTTTTACAGCAAAGTTTATTTGTATGTGCCTTGATCCATTTGCATAATTTGTTCATTGAAGAAGTGATTTCATATGTATTCATTTGTGATATGCTTTTAATTTCGCTTAGATATATAGAATGTGTGTGATTAACTCCTAACCCCAATGTCCTAGTGTGGTTCCTATCCATAAAAGAGTGGTACAAACATCTTTACTCAGAAGAAAAATCTTCGTCTCGGAATCAATTCTATTTGACAGTGCTGTGACAATTTTGAGCAATTAAACTATTCCAGTTGGTGTCAGAGCGTAACTCCCAGAATCCAGTTCCAGTTCCAGTTCCAGTACTCAACGACCTTCTATAATGCTACTGCTGTTCGTTGTTGAATCAGCCGCTTATAACACATTGCAACCCAAAATGCCCTTGTCATTTTATCGTCATCAGCATATATAACTGCCATGCACTTTTGTGGTTTCCGTCCATAAAAATAGAAGAAACATCGTTACTCAGATTTCACCATGTAAGAATCCTTGTTTCAGAATCAATTTTGCTTGACAGTCCTGTGACAATTGTCCACAATGAAACTATTCCAGTTGGTGTCAGAGCCTAACTCCCAGAATCCAGTTCCAGTACATAACGGCTTTCTACAATGTTGCTGTTGTTCGTTGCTGGTATCATCGCCATGTTGTGTCTGCCGCTTCCGGGTGTCGGCGCTGCTGGTGACAGGGACGCCCTGTTATACAAAGTGGAAATCCTCATTCCCCCTAAGGAGGGGAGGGACGAGAATGCAGACATACAGCAGATAAAGCAGACAGTTGAAGATCTGAAGGACATCAAGGTTATCTTTGCATTCAAGGTCTGTAAAATTAAGCTTATAACAAATCTATGCAAAACTATTAAAAAGTCATTTTCAATTTGACGAATATTTTGAGGGGTGTGTGTTTCGAAAGGGAGATAAAGGACATGGATCCTGGCAATTAATGATATCATGATATAATATGTTATTTACGGTAATACTCACAATATGCATAGTAATATAATGCTCAATAATATGCCCAGCATATTGCCTGCTGGACAATTCACACAGCTGCACCTAACACTTGAATTTCTTTATCAGATGTACATGTATATTGAATTATACACACGAATATTGATTTATTGTTATTGGTTGAACAGGAACTCGGAAATCCAAGTATTGTTCTTGGTAAGTCACCATTAAAATTTGCTAATATATCATTTTACATGAAACATTTCAGTTAATCCCATGATAGAACTCAGACGACTAACCAAATTTATGTGAGCTTCACTAAAATGTATTTTACATGGTCAATGGCAAGTTGCCCAGGAGGGTGACAACTTGAAAAAATATTACCCGCTTCCACGGTAACCACCAAACTCCGCCGAGAAGCTGTATCGCTAACAATTGTATGGCGTCATAATTTGACGCATGCAGTGCACCGTGTTCGAGAACAGTTCGATTAGCTGCTTTTGAGTTCACTATGTATACATATATTTTACCGATTTTCATCGCTTGATTTAAACTATTTATACAATGAATCGTTTGAATCAATTTAAATATAATTAAACATTTTCATAGCAGTTTTAAGCTTGTCAGAAAAGTTTCACTGATTTTAAAGATCCAGTCGCGAGAGACAGCCACCATTTTGTTTACATGTTATATAGACGGGTTCAAAATAAAATGATATTTTGTACATTTAACATGGCGGTAAGATAAATACGTTGTATGCTTCTCTCTCGCCTACCGGCTCGGGTGACACTGCTATAAAAGGCGTACATCAGACCGTATTGCCCTCGAGAGACGCATACAACTAATAACAATAATAATATACATAATAACCCTGCTGGCGAATAGAGGATGACATCTGCCATAATCACGCGCCAATACTGTCAGTCTACTACTGACTCTACAAGTAGAGGTCAGCACATGTTGGTAAAATATAAATAGCAGTAATCTGAAGTTTACTGAAGAAAACGTGTGATATATTTTTAGGGTGAAATATTTTAAGCAACAGCAGCAAAATAAACAATAATACAGAAGATTGCAGCATATATTGTTAATGTAGTATTAAGGTATTCAGTGTCATTTATACTTACCTTTTTGTTACGCTAAATATTAACTCACGCACTCGCTATACTTGCCTTTTGGAATATTACTAATTAAGAGAGTTGTGCTATTGATCGACTCTTGTTGGATTCAAAACGAAAACATCTTTATTTTTCTTTGACAGAAAGAAGCAAAAGGTCATCCAGTATATATGCCTTATCTACTCAGGCAACAAGTTGACCTTCTGAGACGGACATAGTTTGCATATTAGTGGATCATCTAATGCATCTTTACAGAAGTTATATCAAAGAATGTTTTCCTCAAGTCGCTTCGTTTATTTAACACATTTTAGTGCTTGACGTTGAGGAAGCATGCAGTTGGCCCCAGTTGACAGGTTTCCTATCACGCAAGGGATATGAGTTCAGCGTCGCATCACTCTACCGCTGCAGTGACTACTCCAACAGACTTGGTTTCAACCTGCCCGATGACGCATGGACATATTCGTTCCAGGATGAAAACCTTGCCATGGTCACTAAGGTATTTCCTGTGGGAGGTAAGAACTCAATTCCAGAAATAGTGCCTTAATCACCTGGCGGTTATTAAAGGTTGTTGTAAACAGTGTCTTGGGGAAAATATGACATCGATCTAGTTGAATGATTGAAAACAGTTACATTTACATCCTGCTGCCCGAGAACAATCACTTTTATTGACGGATTTTATGTTACTAAATAATAAAACGCTGCTTTAGCATCCTTTGTGTAAGAGCATTCTGTTAAAACCCCAAACCCAAAGGGGTGTCTCAGTTATTGAAACATTACTTAAGCGTATTTTGAACTTATTTACGTTTGTGTTTACCTTTGTTTTGTAAATTGTGTTTTCATTTGGATGGGACAAGACCGAATAAATAGTTGTCACAGTTAATGAGTGTTCACATTATTTGTCAGTGTTTATTATTTTTCATTTCCCCAGACAATAACCAAAACACTATCACAGGACTTAGTACAGAGATCACATGTGGCCATTATGAATGAGATGAAATGATGAGTTCAACCAAGAAAGCCCAAAGGCTCAAGTAACAATTATAAAAACAACATGACCAATGCAATCCTGTGGTGATCTCAAACAAAGCCCTACTATTGTATTTCATTTATTAGTTGTGCCTTTCATTTGTGATTTATTGTTATACATTGTGCAATGTTTGTGGATCTTGTAATATACTCAGAGGCACAAGTTAATGTGGCATGGAACATATTCATTGGTAATCTTGAGAATGAATTTTGGATTTGAACTAGAGAAGGAATCTGTTCAAATAGTTGAAAATGCACAACCAAACCGTTGTTCGAGTTGTACAAAATTTTCATGACGTATTCGGGAAACAGGGTCAGCAATGTTCACTGTGAAATGCCAGAAATCCAGATGCTCATCACTTCCTGTCAATGCAGTCTTAATAAGTGCAGAAGTCCTCTATTATATGATATGGAACAAGTTCCAGTGCCACGTCACCGGGAAAATGGCGGATGAATGGAGAGTAATTGGTGCTTCAATCTGGTAATGTTGCTCGCCGACTCAACGTCCAAAGAAGCAGCGTTTGCCACTTATGGTGTTGTTTTCAGCAAAACAGGTTTTAGACTAACCCCGTAGTGGCCGACACATGCTCCAGCCAGCAACCATTACAGTCCGTAACATACCTGGCAAAAGAGATGTATCTGTGACCAGTATGACATTAGAACATAAGAACACCAGTAAACTGTCTACAGACCCACAGGTGAACGTTACAACATACCAGGTGTTCCTGAAGAGGAGGGGCGTTGGGGTAGCCTAGTGGTTAAAGCGTTCGCTCGTCATGCTGAAGACCCGTGTTCGATTCCTCACATGGATACAATATGTGAAGCCCTTTTCTGTTGTCCTGCGCCATGATCATGCTGGAATATTTCTAAAAGCAATGTTAAACCACTCACACATTCCAGAAGACGATCGTTTTGGAAGTGGGGCCGTTATCATCTGTAGCAGTAACAGCAAGGATGCCAATAATTCATAGATTGTGATTGAGGGAAATCGACATGTATCGACGTTACAAAATGATATTGCCACAATGCACAGCTGTGCAGCAGTATTGTAATCACAACAATGTTAACGTGTTACTCTGGCCTGCAAGATTCCTTGACTGAATAAACCATCGAACACGTATGGGATCAAATGTACCGAAGTCATCTGAATCCTCTAACAAAGCTGCAGCGACTCTGACATATCCTTCCTCGGGTATGGCATCATGTTCTCAGGCCTGCACCAATCCAGAAGAGGATCGTTTTGGAAGTGGATCCGTTATCATCTACAGCAGTAGCAGCAAGGTTGCCAATAATTCACTGATTGTGAGATTTTGCAAATGGCTGCATTTCACTTTTTTGCAAGAGACTTTCCTCAACGTGATATTACCACACCGCACAGCTGTACAGCAGTATTGTAATCACAACAATGTTAAGGTGTTACCCTGGCCTGCAAGATGTCCTGATTGAACGAACCATTGACCACGTATGGGATGACACGTACCGACGTCATTCGAATCCACTCACATGTCCTTCCTCAGGTATGGTATGATGTTCTCAGGCCCTGCACCACTCCACAGGGTGGACACACTCGTTAGTGAACCCCTTCTTGTGTCGTGGCTCATTTGCATATGTTAGGTGCAGTGTTTTTTATGGACTGTTGATCATTACCACGGCTTGACACATCTGTCTGTCCATGTAATGACATTCTATTCGCGTCAGTAAAAGTTTTAAACCGATTCTGGCTGTGGTTTCTCTGTCTCAGTAACGTGTTCGTTTAAGTATGCATACAAGTAGTGAGTTTACGCCGCACTCAGCAATATTCCAACTATATGGCAGCGGTCTGTACATAATTGAGTCTGGACGAGACAATCCCATGATCAACAGCATGAGCATCGATCTGCGCAATTGGGAATCGATGACATGTGTCAACCAAGTCAGCGAGCCTGACCACCCGATCCCGTTAGTCGCCTCTTACGACAAGCATAGTCGTCTTTTGTGGCAAGCAGGGTTGCTGAAGACCTATTCTACCCCGGATCTTCACGGGTCTACATACAAGTCGTGTGTGCAATGGCTGAAACAAAAGTTAATGCAAGTTTTAGTCAATAGATTTACTAATTAATACGGATTTCAAAAAGGAGGAAAATAACTATAACTTGCAGATTTATACTGCACATCATATGCAAATACCCAAGATACCTCTTGATTGTCGCTTTTGGTTGTTTGTGTGTCACAATAACTTTGCCATTGTGTATAATTGATACTACATGCAAATGGAATTGTAGTGTAACAGCTTGGGGTCACGTGAACAAAATATTCAATGATATACTTCCAGACTTGTCAACACTTGAATATAACGAAAGGCTAAAGATGACATTTCAGCAAGACCTAGCCATATTGAAAAGTGGTCAGAAAGGGGTATGCTTCAGAATTCTCGCAGAGTACCCGGTTGAGGTGAGGATTTTTGTTACAGATTTCTTTGTTAAGGTGTTGTGCTTTCTCTCTGTTTAAATTCTATCAACAAAACGCATTGATGATTCTGCTGTTATTGTAATAATTGTGATATGATGAACATAAGAAACACTCTGACCATCATTCTCTTGAACCCCAATTACCAGCTGTCTTTGGCGTTCATGGGTCATATGTTCACACTATGTTATGAATATGCTATTCACACTTTGCTATGGATAAAATCATTGATTCAACAGAATCATGATAAGGGGTCAAATTTGTTTTAAATATCAAAGCCTATTGGAAGCATGGATCTATGTTTTCAGTATGTCACTGCATCTTGTGGATCCTCTACCTGCTATCGACAGGTGCTGTGTATTTGTCAATGACCTGTGTCATGATTTGCAAAATGGTTGGATGGTGCCATGAAAACCATTTTTATGGTTACTCATGTATCAAGTGCATACGGATAGCTTAAAGTGGCTGTTTTCCTAAAGATGTGTTACCATATCATTATTTGTCCAGTTGTGTGATCCTTATCAAAGTGTTAGTAGTATATATCGAAGGACGTGGGTCATGTTGATGTAACATAGGTAATGGGTCGAATCATTGATATAATTTCTTGTTTATTCGCGTATGTTTATGGCAATGTTCCTCTTTATGTTAACACAACTGATGTTTTGAGGTCTGACAAACCAAAATGATTTTGTCAGTTATACACACATTTTCAAATAATTTCAGTTGGTGTACTTCGCCCCGGTCAGCCAAATGAAGGTTGAAGCGATTGACGAAAGTTTGGCAAGTCCTGGTCTCTATGAAAATGAAGTAAAACGCATACAGAACCTTGCCAATTACACAGCAGTGTGCCAGGGAGACTAAACACGTGATTTTAGAACGCAGAAATCCTGTGGAACATATACAACATATACAATGTATTCTGCTGAATAAACACATTCATGGCATGTAAATCAGGATGATGTATCTATTCTAACAGATTTCAAAAGCAGGAAAAATAAACATTTAGTTTCAGTGGAATTTGGGAGTACACTCAGGTGACAAAGACGTTATGTGTTTCATCAGGGACAAAAATGAACACCTGGTATCACCACCGTTTGATAGTGATTCATAAATACATGCGCTGTCATCGTATCACTGGTTTGTTTGGTCCAGACTCTGCTGTTTACAAACACCACCATACACTTGTGATTCTGCTGAAACAAATACATACTCATGATTGTAGAATTGTAAATCGACTCTGCTTTTAGCAGGTTTTGTCGCTTCTATTAAAGCTGAAGAACAAGCCACCCTGGGTCTTGTATTAGTGAGTGAGTGAGTTAAGATTTAAAGTCACATCGGCAATATTTCAGCCATATCGTGACTGTCTTGTATTAGTGAACTATGGGATTTATATATTGTATCATATCGGGACATTAATTTTGGGTGAATGTTAATTAAGATTCGAAACTTTTCAGAAAACAAATGTTTTACCTAGGTAAACTCGGGTTGTGAAAACGACACGTATCATGAATTTGAAAAGAAAATTATGACAGATTAAATGACAAAGTACGAACAATTAAAAAAAAAATCGATATTAACTCCATACAAAAATACAACCATTCTGTGTTCCACAAACATGTATAACCCCAAATCATTCATGTGGGGGTATGTAAGTCCTGAAACTTTCAAGGTAAATTAAGCGTACTGAATATTTTAAAATGTAGCATTTTCGTCATTTTAAGTTATGGCTAAATATACCCACAATCACCAGCGACTGAAGGGATGATGTAAATGCAGCTAGGGTCCATGCAGGTAGCAAACGTACTGTAAGTCCCCATGGTGATGGTGATCTACCTTCAGTTGCTGGCGATGTATAATTTGTCGACAGGCTTTTATAATTTGATTACGTTTATTGTTAATTGCTAACTTTTGAAGTCACGATATGGCTGAAATATTGCCGTGACTATATTTTGTAACTCACTCACTCAAATCATTCATGCTTCGAGGCCACAACTGCTGCATCATAATTTGTAACGGGAAATATACATAATACTTGGAATTTCCTGCAGATTACCATGATGTAGGTCTTGAATGTTTGCCATGTTGCACACTATCAATATTATGTCATATGATGTCATGTTATAAAAATACTGATCCAAATCATGGAGTAAGATTTCATGCCTGATAATTTCTCGTGCTTATCAACAAATCATTCATTATTATACAGATATGCTATGCAAGTGCTCATTATCAGTGGAACCGAGTAATAAATATCTTCAAATCTTTATAACATAAAACTAAAGGGCATGGCCATCTCTGGTGTAGATCTACAAAAACAATGGCAGGACAGGTGACCAAACTGTGAACAAAAGAAAATTCATTGTAACCCGGGTCAATAATTGGTGAATGACCTATTTGGTACCCTTAGGGGCGGTGGGGTAGCCTAGTGGTTAAAGCGTTCGCTCGATCCCCGACATGGGTACAATATGTGAAGCCCATATCTGGTGTCCCCCGCCGTGATGTTGCTGGAATAATGTTAAAGGCGGCGTAAAACCTAACTCACTCACTCATTCCCTGGTAACCTGAGTATACAACTCAATCATTACATTTGCGGCAAATTACAGTCCAGTATTGCCTTTCAGTAGTGCGACACTTGGTGGAACCTATACTGCGACATGACACCAGGCTCCATCTGATTATTCAGACAGCCCTAACTGTGGCTTGGCGGGAATGTGATTTTGATATCAGATCTCGAGAGTTATTAGGGTGAGTGAGCAGTTATAATTTATAGTGTTACGAGAGTGTGTTTTTTTTAGTTTGTAATAACATCGGTTAGGTGATAGTAATTATGAGTCACAATGTTTTAAGTTTTGTGTGTTGGTTGTGGGTCACATTTCGCATCATATATGTTCATTGGCAATACTATTTTTAGCGGTACGCCTTTGTGATAGCGCTACAGAGTTACCTCCCTTGATCGGATGTTTATGTGTTAATATCGTCATGTCGCGAGTTCCACACGTTTCCAGAAAGATCTAAGTGTTTAATGATACAGCCACGCTTTGCTGGAAAGTTCAAGAATCTGTGCCATTATATATAAAGGCCGGCTGTTGTGTTGAGAGACACGCAAGGACTAACACACGGAATTACCTAACACTTCGTGCCTGACTGCTCTCATTTGTAAACAAGCTCCATTTAGAATATATGATCTCACTGTGGTTACCACGACTCTGGTGAGTTAATATTTTATATGTGACCCATTACTTTAGATTTGTGACTCGATTGCATTGTATTAGAAAGGCTGTAGGTGAATTCGTAGACCAGACTGGTTCATAGACGTGGAAATCCGGTGGATTGGTAGGCTGATTGAGCGGTGGATTCGTAGACGTTAGTAAAATGGGAAAAGTTCAACATCAATGATGATGAAAATCGATATTATGACTTTAATGTACCCGAAAAGTGTTTGCATTTTGTCAAATAAATAAAATATATCAGGTAAGTACGATCGGTGATGAAAATAAAATATAGGCCGCTTATATATTAAATTCAGTTTGGTGAAATTAAATGATATATATTAGGTAAGTATCGTCAGTGATGAAAACCCATTCAACATTCATCCACGCAGACCAGCAGAGAAGTAGCAGAAAACACTTCTAAAGAAAACACTTACATCTCTACATCTCCTACACACAGTATTTCGCAATCAAAACAACTCACCACGTCCTAATTAACATTCACAACAACTCACCGCTTCCTAATTAACATTCACAACAACTCAGCGAAACCTGTTAATCAACATTCCACCAACTCAGTGAAACCTGTTAATCCACCCACAACAATGAAAACAGTCGGGAAATTCTGATGAGTAGATTAATTTTGTCTGATCCGCCGACAAAGTTTACCTGTACAAACACTTATGGTATATAAACCTCAAGAAGGTAAAAAAGAAATCATTCAGCATCAACCATGGCTCTATGTGTTGCATGTGTGAAAGAAGTGCGTCCTAGACAACATGCCATCCAGTGCGACAGCTGCGATCACAGGAATCGACATCGCTACCTACCGCCAGATGACGAAAGGGCAACTCCCTCTTCCTACCAAGTGACTTCCTGAGAGCCGATATCAAGACAGGTGGAGGACAGTGCCATTTCTTTTTTGCTAGTGACCACCAATTGAAGACTTTGAAGACGTCCAAGACATGGTATATAGACTCTACCTTCAGAGTTGTGTAACCCCCCTCCTTTTACCAGCTGCTGTCCATCTATGCGTTCCTCGTCTCCGGGTCGTCAATGAAGCAAGTTCCTCTTTTGTTCACATTGATGTCGCGGCGCGTGCCAGAGGACTACGTGGCCGTAAGTAGTTAACAAATTGTTATGTAATAGCTAAGCTAATTACTGTACTTGCTGTATAGTTTGTTCATTGTGATCAAACAATAAGGTAATTATCTATTTAACAGGTCTTCAAAGCGGTCAACGACTTTGAGGCGGCAACCTGGAGAGGGTTTCAGAGAGTCTTTCCGGCCGTCCAGATCAAGGGCTGCAGCTTCCACATGAATCAGGTGATTTATATGAAGGTGCAGAACTTGGGTCTGGCTACGGCTTATATATGAAGAGGACGTGGGAACACACAGGTGCATATTTCATTTTTTCCTTCTGTTTACACTCTTTCAGATGATATTGTTACAAAAGTTATCTGCATTTTATTAGTATAATGATTATACCTCACATTTTTTTTATAATTTGTTTTCTAGATTCGTCAAGAAGCTGATGGGTTTGCAATTCCTGGACGCAGCACCTATCAGGCCTAACACTTCATTAAGCAGGCAGTGACGCCGGATCTGGTCGCCCTCTGTGACTATTACGAAGCAACATGGATCCGAAACACCGTGTGGACTGGCTAATTAGAGCGTTTTCGGGACGGCCATCCGGACGAACAACGACCTGGAAAGCTGGCACAAACGCTTGAATCAGCTGTCCGGGCGACGTCACCTACCTTTCTACAGGTTGCTTCCCCCTCCTCTTCAAAGAAGCTGACCTGCTGCCTTTACAAATTCGACTGGTCACAGACGGTCAGCTGAACAGAAGGCAACATGTTGGCCAGCGGGCCAAGTCCGATAAGTTTTTCAGAGTATGGGACGAATTCCAAGCCACAAATCTTACTGAATGGACCAATGGTCACTGAGTGAATTGACTGTGCATTGTATTATATGTATTGTGATTCATTGTAGCTTGCTCATTGTTTGCTCAATATATTACTTGTCTGTTACTTGTCTGTTTTATATTTTGCTGGTTCAAAGGGGATTCTTAAACCTTTTGTCACGGCAATAGTCACATTTATATTTTCAGCCATGTCGTGACTATGAAAATTGTAAATTCGTAAATGTATAAATGAATAAAAAAACAAACTTATGTACATGTACTTACCTGTCTGCAAAGGACAGTAAAATAACTAGTTTATCACAGATTTACACTTACAATTAAAACTAGCATTAAACCATTAAACACTGTATCATCTATCTTGAATAAGACAGTATAAAAACAGGCTATAGATCGCTAAAGGTAGTGAGTGAGTGAGTGAATATTTAACGTCACGTCGGCAATTCCAGCCATATCGTGACGAGAACAAATTTGACGTGGATAAATGTAATACGTGTATGTTATAAAACCTGTCGTCAAAGGACAGTAAAACAACTAGACTATCAGAGTTAGAATTAAATCTAGCATGTTAAGTTAAAACTATTGGGACAATACAATATATACACATGCTATAGATCGCCAGTCACTGAAGGTAGATCACCATACTAGTGGCCACGAAGACTTGAATTACTTTTGCTACCTGCATGGACCCTAGCTAGATTTACACCATCCGTGCAGCCGCTGGCGATTGTGCTTACATTTAGCCACAAATTGAAACGACAATAATCCTACGATCACAAATCGTGGTAGATCAAAAAAGAGTTATTAGGATGAATCTA